AACCCTCTCCCCTCCCAACCACCCACTCACCTCTCGCTACGCTACCTACAGGCTCACCTCCCTACCGCCCCTTCTCTCCGCCTTCCTCTTTCCATCCTCATCACGGTTACTCTCGCTAGCTCTTTTACCTCCCCTTCCCACACCTCCCCTTCCTATACTCTTGGCAACCCCGGCTCCGCCACCGCCTCGTCCGTATCCCGCGACACCTATCTTCCGGTTTAAACTCCTGCCGGTCTCTGCGCACCACAGAGAGGAACCTTGCTAACTTTTATTATTTACGACCGATATTTCAGTCGGCCAACTCGCGGCTGATATACGGGCTTTAGGATATTCTTGAATTACCTGAGGGCCCTTGATAAATTTCTTTCACGAACCGACTTGCTCCCGAGGAGTAAAGAGAAAAAGAGAGAGAGAGAGAGAGAGAGAGAGATAGAGAAGGGGGATGTAAGAGAAAGAGAGAACTCAAGTATCCTTATATTCTTTTCAGTGATTCTTTTCGAATCACTGATAAGACGAAGATTATATTAAAAAATCTAGAATCGATCTTTATTACTAATTACTTCGTTTCTCCTAATTATATTTTTAAGATTAATATCTAATTCTATATTTCGTAATTGTAATAATGATTAATCTTGTTGATATAATTCTTGATAGAACATGTTTGTTAGTTCGTAAAAAAGAACGGTTAAAGGATATAAAATCTGAGAGTCAGAGAGAAGAGAAAGGGAGAAAGAGAGAGAGAGAGAGAGAGAGAGAGAGAGAGAGAGAGAGAGAGAGAGAGAGAGAGAGAGAGAGAAAATATCTAACAAATTGTAAAGCATTAGAAAAGGGGCTCCGTTGGGAAGTTGCAGACGTAGAAGAACGTAAAACAGATTTGTAAGGGTTAGGGGTAGTATACGTTTGTTACGTTAGAGTTAAAGTTAGAAAGGATTCTACGGATATGGATAGCTACTTGGAAGAAATAAAGTAGAGTGAGAAAGAAAGAGAAAGAGAAAGAGAAAGAGAAAGAGAAAGAGAAAGAGAAAGAGAAAGAGAAAGAGAAAGAGAAAGAAAGAGAGAGAGAGAGAGAGAGGAAGCATGAATCATCGTCATTCATTGATTCTTCGTCTATCATTCGTATCTTTATCTACCAAGCTACGATATACCTATCCTATCATCCTTCCTTCCTTCCTTCCTTCCTTCCTTCCTCGTTCCTCTCTGAACCCTCTACTACGAAACTCTTTCTCCTCCTCCAGTTCCACCTTCTCTGAACTACTCTCTATCCCCTCCCCCTGGCCGATCCAACCCCTCCACCAACCCGTGAAGGGTCTGAATTTGCATTTTATTCGCAGCGTGGACCGCGGGTTCGTGGGTAACGTTCTTCCGCAGCGCGGACATTTATTTTAATTAAATTACTCCGGAGCGTCGAACAACCCATTTCCTATAAATTATCCCCTCACCGCTCTTTTGCGCGACGCGGCGAGGCATTAATGTACCCGCTGATCCCACGTTGTGTGCCATTGAAATGAAATAAAAGCACCGGGTACCAGAGTACGAAAACGTTCTGGCCCATTCTCACCCGCGATTCCGTTGAACGGCGCTCTACTACTGTCGCTTCCCTTTCATTTACCACGTAATCACTTTCCGCGAGTGTGCGTACGACTACCAAAGACCGATTAACGACTGGTCAACCAGGGTGAGAGAGAAGATCCTTTCTATAAAGATAAACGGTATATGCATGGGAGAATGTATCTGCGATTAACCGATAGGAAACATAATTTAATATATGTATATATATATATATATAATATAATAATAATATTATATATATTATTATTATTATTATTATTATTATATTATATATATATACTTAATATTAATACATATGTGTATATATATATATAATAGTAAATATATATTATAATATATGTATAATATTATTATTATATTAATTTAGACACTCACATGCATATATATATATATATATATATATATATATATACACATAACTTAACATATATATAATAATACATATAATATTATTATTTTATTAATTACATATATAATATACATAATACATATGGATATATATAAGATACAAATATCAAATATATATTATATATATTACATTGTGTTATTATATATAGTAAACATTGTGTGTGTGTATGTATATTAAGTTATATAGTTCATTATACAAAGTTCATTATATATATATATATATATAATATATATATATATATATTAATATATATATATATAATGAACTTTGCTATTAAATTATTTCTTTCGACAATTGTCTTAATCTATATATTGAAAGAACAGATCGTTTCGATAACATATCCAATACCTTTGTTCACATTATAAAATATATTGATTATTTGTCAAATATAAATAGCGACATATAATTAATAAAAAATAACTGAACGAAATAATACAAATAAAAGTAGATATACGATTATAATATATATATACTGATTGTGCGTCGTAAACGCGTGTGCCGCATGTGCATAGCTACGTTCGACGCATGCGCTATAAACACGAGGCAAAGCTACGAACTAGTAGAGATAAACACAACCTCACTCAGCGATGTGATCTTACGATAGATTGTAACATTTGAACGATTTGTTTCGAATAAATGATGATAAATAATAAGAAAATATAAAGAAAAGAAAAATGTATGAACGATAATAATAACAATTGATGGACTCTTTAACTAACCTGATAAGTGACATCCTCGTCGAATTTACCGCGCGCTGCACCGACATTTAACGTTTGCACGCAACACTTGTCCGCATTCCACACGTATAACACGTCATCCCTAATCTCCAAAATGTTATGCGTCTCTTTCGTATTACCTGACAAACTTCTTTTTAACTCTTTGAACAATCGTTTATCGTTTAAACGCAATGGATCGGTACACGAGGACATATTTTCAGAGAACACTTCTACGAGGTTAAGAACGACTGCTCAACGCGCGCGTTACATACCGAGCAGCTGACGAGCAGGCTTGCCAATATTGTAACTTTCAAATTTTAACGATCACGTGATTATAATGGCGCCACTTGGTTGAAGATTTAAAAATGCGTTTATTTAACTCGCACGTCGTATTATTTATTCCTCGTACGTTCATAGATAAATATATTTTTATTTCGATAATTATAAATTGCCAGAGAATTAACGATAAAATTAATTTGGAGAATGTACCTTTTCTTTCTTTTCTTTTTTTTTTTTTCTTTTCAATAAGATTTAGTTAAATATTCGTCACTTAAATGAAAAGAGAAAGAGAGAAAGAATTAATAATAATACTTTATTTTATTGTAATAATCGTGAATAGAAAAAGAAATCTTTATTAGATAACGTCAAGGAAAGAGAATTAATTTTAATCGAATAATTCGATAAGTACTTTTCGATGAAGATAGGCAAAGAAAAAAAAAAAGATAAAAAATATAATCACTTTTAAATGATTTTCTAGGCCCCGGAGGGATTCGAACCCTCGATCTCCTGTTTACTAGACAGGCGCTTTAACCAACTAAGCCACGGCGCCGTTGTTACTGACATAAGATTATTAAATTTTTATCATAACTGTATCATCTTTAGTTCAATTAAATTATCATAATGTAATATATAAATTATTTATAAATACATATTATATATTTTTAAGTTTATATACTTGTTCGTTATTTTTTTCTTTTTTTTTTTTTTTTCTTATAAAAACCATTACATTTATTCACTTATATATTTTTTATTGTATAATATTGTATTATTATTTATTATTATCATTATTTTAGGATTCTACGCTGAATTAAAAATAAAAGTTTGTTATAATCGTAAAATCGAATTAAATTTCTATTATAATATTTCCAAATTATTGATTATTTCAATATTTTTATATATTCAATATATATATATATATATATATATATATATAAAATGATAACGATATAACCTATTAATTAATTATAATATAAAAATCACAATTTAAATCATAATGTAAAATAAAATAATCAATATTTTATACAGTTTTTACGCAGTTATATTAATATAAAAAAATAAAAAAAATAAAAGCAAAAAAATTAACGCCCCCGGGTGGGCTCGAACCACCAACCTTTCGGTTAACAGCCGAACGCGCTAGCCGATTGCGCCACGGAGGCGATTTGACCGTCATTTTCTTAAACAAAAATTAATGCTACCAATCAATGAAATTTCATATATATTAAAATAAATAATAATAATAGACTCTTAATTCATACATTTTAGTTTTCCACACGTAAATATTTTCTTAATAATAGTATATTGTTTCACGACAAAAGCATATAATGAATAATAAATATAATTAACACATATGATAATTAATATATATATATATATATATATATATATATATATATATATATATATATATATATATATATATATATTTGCGAATTTAAATAAAATTATCTTTGAATTTAATTATATCTTATCTACTTACCCGTAGAAGTATTATTAGAAATGTAATGTTTTTCTATTGATGACGAAATTAACATCTTGATGTAGTACGAGTAACGAGAACCTCAATTAAGAGAACTTCGTCGTTCAATTAGTTACAGTTAATTCGATATTTTTTCTTCTAACGTATATCCTTATGCTATATATCAATCGATTATCGATATTACGATTTCTATGAGCGAATGTTTTTAAGACGGATCTTCTTGACGCTTGAAAGATATTCGGTAAAATTAAAAATCGACCAATGACGTATCAGTTATGCATGTCTTAAAATTTTATTCGTCTTTTTGGATCTTATTTTTATAGATATCGACTTTCAATGATTCATTTTCTTTGTTTTAATTAACATTGTATTCGTTTCGACGATTTTTACAATTACATATCATATTTTTAATGTTTCGATATTTTCATATAAATAGATCGAAAAATTACAAGCTTCATAAGGGGGAACCATTGTGTAGATGGCGCATCGCGCATTCGCGGGGGGTCCCCCGATCTTTAGCGTTAATAACGAAACTGCCATTTTGAATCGATTTGTACAACAAATTGCAGCGGAGCTTCGTCGTCCCGTTATTAACAAGTAATTAAATATTTTTCTTCTAACGCACGTCCTTCTTTTATATATCAATCGATTGCCGATTACACGATTTCTACGTGTGAATGTTTTTAAATCTTTTCGTCGTCTCGTTCAAAAGATATTCGAGAAAAATGAAATGTGACGTCATTGGGTTACTTAAAAAATTCTTACGTAATCATATTTTTATTGGACTCCTTTTAAGAATTTATAATAATTATCTATCACGATTTATCGTATTTATCGTTCAAATGAGTTCCTACGTTAGTTAAAACAATTTCGTATTAAAAAAAAAAAAAGAAATACTAATAATATTCTTTTTCTTTTCTTTTCAGGTGATATCATTGCAATCGTGCGCGATGCAATAAGTGAATCGAGTGTTTTTTTATAGCTTAAAATTAATCATTAGAAACATTCTGAATGATTGCGTGCAATGCAGTCAATTACATATATATTTAGTGTTTCTTTATAAGAAGTTTTTTACTTTTTTTTTTTTTTTTCTATTAAATAACTTAACAGTTGCGTTTAAACGTTAGATATTCGCGAATTAAATTCACGTCGTCTCGTAACAAATAAACCATAAACGCGTACTATAAAGTCAGTTTACATTATGGAAGATTATCAAGAAAGTATTACGCGTCTTCTGTAAGAAATTATTGGTAAGTAACATTTGTAATATATCGAAGTTTACGAAGATGCAATAAATCTCGTTATAATGATAAATTTCTTTTCTAAATTTCTTTTTTTCTTTTTCAGTATCATCTCAATCGAATAAAACGATCGTCGATTTGCGATAATTTAAAAATCTATGTATCACATTTTCAAGCAACAAAATGGACAAGTTTTTTTCATCAGAAATGGTGAGTAAAAGAATTGATATACTTCTTATTTTATATCATTGAAATATAATTGAATATGATATCCGAAAGATCAGGACACGAATCATCGTGAATAGAAATAGAATTTTGTAAATTTTCAATCGATCGATTTTGTAATTATTTATTTATTTATCCATTTTTTTTTTCTTTTCTTTTTAAATGCAAATCTAAGATTATTAATAAAAAAACATTTAAAATCGTCTGACATCATCACTTTAACAGAAATAATATCTAACATTGTGGACGTTTGCCAAACAACGTTCGTTTTACTTTAGAAAATTAATCAGAAATATATCATCAATCTGATATTAGGTATCATTGTTAATAACAATGTTGTTAGAATTACATAGATACATATATTGCGAAAGTTAAGGTTGAATAATCAGATAGAAACACAGTGAGCATTATTATCGTACCAAACAAAACGGAAATCGAACAGATGGACGGAGACAAAAAGAGGTCTCGATGAAATATCGTTTCACTAACTGAACTTGAATAAAAGGAGGGTGTGGTGGTTGTAGAACTGGAGTAGAAATGGGTTGGTGGGGTAGATGTGGTGATGGTGGTGGTTTAGGATTGGAAAAGAGAGAGAGAGAGAGAGAGAGAGAGAGAGAGAGAGAGAGAGAGAGAGAGAGAGAGAGAGAAAGAGAAAGCGATATAATAGTCGGTGAGTAGAGAATAGTTGTTATATACGAACGTGAAATAGTCTGGCAGTTGCATCGAAACCATATACAGTTAATTAAATGGGGTTGGCTCATTAGTAACTGTCTATATGCAAGGCGATGGGCGAGACACGATTGGAGGGTGGTCCCAAGGTGATTTATCCGTCACGATGGATCGCAGATGTTCGACTCGTACCTCGTACGCACTATATATGTGCTCATCAAAATGGCACTCATAATTAGAACGACAATTCGTTTACCTGAATGCATAACAAAACAAAAATATCTATCGAATAGATCCTTCTTCTTTTTCTTTCCTTCTCTCTCTCTCTCTCTCTCTCTCTTTATTCTCTTCCCTGCCACGTAGCATTATCTCAATTAAATTAATTTTATTTACTATTATACTGCGATAACCGAGATTAGATCGTCAATATTTCAATTCGTTTTAATGCATGTAATTGTGTAAGTATGACTATTATTCGTTGTGAATATATATATATATATATATACACACATACACACACACATACATGTTGTTGTTATTCGCAATGATCTATATTATATATGTATTTTCTCTTGTAAAATTAACGTATAATCCGACGTGGATCACGTTATATAAAAGGAAAAAAAAAAAAAAAAGAAAAAAAAAAAATAGAAAAAAGAGAAGAGTCATTCTTTGTGATCATGGATTTAAGATTGATCCTAGTTATTTCCTAAGCCAATATCTTCGAGGATAGAGGTCTCTCTATTTCTCTCTCTTACTCTCTCTCACACACTTTCTCTCTCTCTCTCTCTCTCTCTCTCTCTCTCTCTGTCTTTCTAGGGAGTTTTGGTTACGCTGACGTTAATGGTCTGTTTAAATTGTGCGTTTAATTACAAGTAAGAGACAGTTGCAACAGAATTTATCGGTCACCGTTAACATACCCCTCAGCATCCCTTTCCCCCTTTCCCCTTTCCCTCATTTCCCCCTCCCCGTGCTTTTGTTCCTAATCTACGTAGTAGATATTTGGTCTAAACATGGAGGATCGTGTGTCCCCCTCCTCTCCCCCTTCCTTTTCCTCACTGTCCCTCCCCCCCTCCGCCTCTTCCTCCTCTTTATATACAGTAAGACGTATCTTATTGCTTTTTAGTAACCATTTCGATCCGGTTGAAAGAGAGAAGAGCGGGGAGTGAGGACTCGTGCGTTGGATTTTCATGAGAATTTCATTGTCTCCTGTTGTATAATAAATCGTGCGTTAACCTTAATACGCCTTGAATATTACAAGATCTTATGTACGTAACATATTCATTATAATATCTCGAGGAGTTAGATATTTAGTATATATAAGGTTTACGATTAGATAATCTAAATTAATTTACGTGGATTTTTTAGTTTACGATGGATCTTAAATCGATCTTTTTTTGAGAAATGAGAAAAGAAAAGGATTGTTTCCTTGTTTTCCTTTTTCCTTTTTCTTTTTTTTTTTTTCTTTTTTTTTACACGAAATTTACAATCCCTTCTTTTTCGTAAACTTATGTAACGAGGTTTACTTTGCACCCTTGCTCTTTGTCTCTCTCTCTCTCTCTCTTTCTTTTTTTTTTCTCTACGTATTTAGATTACATAGATGAGTTAGTATCCTCTACATCGACTTAGATACACGGTACTTTATAGAAGTAAATGTATGGTGGAATTTACGTACATACATACATACATACATACATACAACATACATACATACATACATACATACATACATACATACATACATACATACATACATACATACATACATACATACATACATACATACATACATACATACATACATACATACATACATACATACATACATACATACATACATACATACATACATACATACATACATACATACATACATACATACATACATACATACATACATACATACATACATACATACATACATACATACATACATACATACATACATACATACATACATACATACATACATACATACATACATACATACATACATACATACATACATACATACATACATACATACATACATACATACATACATACATACATACATACATACATACATACATACATACATACATACATACATACATACATACATACATACATACATACATACATACATACATACATACATACATACATACATACATACATACATACATACATACATACATACATACATACATACATACATACATACATACATACATACATACATACATACATACATACATACATACATAGATAGATAGATACGTTTATATATATATATATATGTATATACGGTGAGTTAAGTCTTCTGGTTGAATCTTGAACATGTAACGATGTAACGGGTGAGCATTACAACGACTAGCAGTGCCAGGTGTGGCTTACCTTTTGTAAATCGAGTCAATTGAGATAATTGCGAGCGTAAATATATATATATATATATATATATATATATATATATATATATATTTTGGAAAATATCGAGAGTAATCTTATTGGCTTATTTATTACGAGTGATAAGAACATTCGATGATCGGAATATCGAATAGAATTGATAATTAGATAACGATCGGTTCTTTGTCCTTTACTTCTCATTTCTTTTTTTATATCTTTTTTTTTCTGTTTTCTTTTTTATATTTTTTTTTTTATTCTCTCTCTGAATTCGAAACTAATGAGACAATTCCCTCGACTCGAACGAGATATGTGCGCGCACGTAACACCACAAACATACATACACAAAGGATAGACAAAGGACAGAGACAGAAAAACAGATAGATGAATGAATAGATGGATTGGGATAAAAAGAGCGAGAGAGAGAGAGATTTCGACGATGACTAGTAGAATTTTCTTCGTTCAATATCTCTTTTTCTGTTTCATATTTTTCTTTTCCTTGTTTTACTTTTTTTTTTTTTTTTTTTTTTTGTTTTTTTTCTCTTCCCCTTTCTTTCTTTCACCCGTGGAGCTCTTCAATTAACTAATGGTCCCGTTAGATTTCGACGAAGGAACCGACGAACGGATCACGAACACCCGTTAGACAATACGTCTTGGCACTCGTAGGTCATTGTGGCGTTGAAAGGGAGTAACTTATAGGGGCATTGGGAATTACCAGTTTATTATTAGGGAGATAGCATAGAAGGCCAAGATCAGGGGTTGCTGTTAATTCTCCTAACACTTGGCTCCCCGGAGAGAACACGCTGCCTTAAGACTTCCACCTTCCACCTTCTCCTCCTTCTACTTCTCCTTTCCTTCCTTCACCACCACCACCACCACCACCACCACCACTACCACCATCACCTCCCCCTCCTCCCCCTGTTTCACCCTCATTCCCTCTATTCTCCCATTCCGATTCGAGGAGAACTCGTGCGCGCAAGAACGAGCCCACCCAACCTCCCGACTCTTCTTACCAGCCGAGAACAACTCGAATCGCTGCCGTGTTAATTAGTACTTTACTTTAAACGCAACCGCAGTTATGTATGTCGGTTCGTGGCCATCCCACAAGCTCGTAAAATTTTTGCAACCATTTTCCAACCCCCTCTCACACTTCTTTCTCACTCTTATTTCTCTCTCTCTCTTTCTCTCTCTCTCTCTCTCTCTCTCTCTCTCTCTCTCTCTCTCTCTCACACACACACACACCTTCTCTACCACCCAATCTTCCCTCCTGTATCTCCTTCGTTTTTCTTTTCGTCTTTCATTTTTCTTTTTCTTTTTTCCTTTTTCTTTTTTTATTCTTTTTTTCTTTTTCCTTACTCTTTCAATCATCCCTTATTCGACTCCACCATCTTTGTCCATCAAATTGACGAACTATTTCATTTTAACTTCGTATTATAGGAAGAAAAAAAAAGAAAAAAAAAAAAAGAAAGGAAAGGGATGAGTATTTTGATTGGATAGGCCTGTTAGTTAGCTAATAGTACGGTTTACGTTTACGAATGTATCGTTTCTGGAGAATAGGTTTCCTTTTGACGTATAGAGAAGATGTCGACGTCTGGTCGGGTCTGGCACGTTCCTGTCCTCGATTCGTCTTCCCATCAACTTCCGACACACGCGGAATCCTTTTACGTCTTCTATCTTCTCTCTCTCTCTCTCTCTCTCTCTCTCTCTCTCGCTGGTTATATAAATGGTATACGCGTCTGGTGAAAACCTAGACGTCGACACGGAAAGATACGTGAGCCTTCGCCACCGCAGATTGCTACGTTTTACCCGACCGTTCGATTTATCAATCGGTTTCTTCTTCCTTTATCTCTCCCTCTCTCTCTCTCTCTCTCTCTCTCTGTTTCTTTCTCTATCTATCTATCTATCTATCTATCTATCTCTTTATCCTTATC